GGGTCCAGAGAGGGGCAGGGATGTGGCATGTCACAGAGTCAGGAAGCAGCCCAACAGCTGGGCCTCCAGCTGCAACCTGCCCGTCTCTAGGCTTAGGATCAACCGTGATGCTGTCTTGCCTCCCCAACACCACACCCACCCGTGTGCAAATGGGCACATTTGTCCAGCCTCATTCATATAAACATGCCCCAGACACACTCAGAGACTGTGGCCGTCTTCCCCGGCCTGTGTCGGGCACACCTGCCCCCGTGGGTGGCACAGCTGGCTGTCCGAGCAAACCCTGTCTGAGACACATGGCCATGCACAGTCCAGGAGAGCTACTTCCCCAAGGCCTACACCTTGCCCCACTGTCCTGCACGTTTCCGAGAAAGACAGCCACTTCCTGGCTCCTGACCCGCCGGTTTCCCATTCCTGGAGAGAGAGGAGTTGTGCGAGGGCTTGGGTAGCTCCACGAAGGCCTTCCCGGCTCCCTCACTGAGGTGTCTCTCCGCCATCCTGCCCCCACCTCTGTCCCCACCCCAGCTGTCGGCCGCCCTGATGTTTGACGCCGTGCACGTAGTGGTGAGCGCCGTCCGGGAGCTGAACCGCAGCCAGGAGATCGGCGTGAAGCCGCTGGCCTGCACGTCGGCCAACATCTGGCCCCACGGGACCAGCCTCATGAACTACCTGCGCATGGTGAGCCGGGAGCGGGCGGGCGGAGGAGGCAGGGCAGGGACCGCCTCAGGTGGGGGCACTCACTGTGTCCACCCTGTGGCCTCTGCCCTCTCCCCCCACCTCCCACCCCGCCCCCGCCTCCGGGCTTTGGGCCTCCTTGTTCTTCGCCTCATCTGGCCATTCCCTGCCTGTCTCTGTTGCTCCTTCTCTCTTTCCGGTCTTGTTCTTTTTCCCCTTGTGTTCCATCGCCCCCTTGCTTCCTTGCATATTGTCTTGCTCTTTTGGCTGCGGTCTTCTTGGTCTCTCTCCCTCTTCCTTTTCCCCTTCACCCTGTATGTTCCTTTTTCTGTGGCTGTCTTATCCCCCTGGGCCTTTCCTGCCTGTCTCTGGCCCCGCCACCCTCTCCCTCTGCCCCGCCTCCCCGCCCTGCTAGGTAGAGTATGATGGGCTGACCGGGCGGGTCGAGTTCAACAGCAAAGGGCAGAGGACCAACTACACCCTGCGCATCCTAGAGAAGTCCCGGCAGGGCCACCGTGAGGTGAGCAGACCTATGGCAATGCCAGAGCCCTGCTGGGGTGAGGGCTGGGACGAGGGTGGGCCCAGGAGCTGCTGTATCCTCAGGCAGGCCTGCACTGACAGCCCCCTCTGTCCCTAGATTGGGGTGTGGTACTCTAACCGGACCCTGGCCATGAATGCCACTACCCTGGACATCAACCTGTCACAGACGCTGGCCAACAAGACCCTGGTGGTCACGACCATCCTGGTGAGTGGCCCTAGAAGGGGATGTGGGGTGTGCGGTAAGCAAATGGGCCTGAAAGCTGGGCATTTCCTGAGCGGTACCCTGAGCCCAGTCCTGGCTCCCCCCATCAGGTGGAGGGCTGCCTTGGCTGGCACAGCACACAAGCCAGTGGGGGACGTGACCCCACGCACCCAACAACCCCAGACTGTGACCAAGGCATCACCATCCTCACCACTGCTAGAGGAGGGGAGGCTCAACCCAGGCTCCTCGCACAGTGTCTGGCCCGTGCTGGGCCCTCGTTAATCGTTGTCACTAGAATGGTTGCTTTGCCACCCTTGCCAACCGAGCATGTTGACTGTCACATGTCAGCTTACCATCCATCTTGAAGATGTGGAAACTGAAGCTCAGAGAGGGGAAGCGACTTGCCCAGGCTCACACAGAAAGTACGTGGCATAGGCTGCGTCTCTAAGGCTCCAGAGTCTGACTCCTGACCTCAGTGCCCGGAAGCTCCAGTCTTCTCCGTACCTGAGCGCCAGCTGAGATTGGCTGCTAGCCCCGGGTTGCCACTGCTGCAGTTTCCCAAAGCAGAGGCGGAGGGCCTTTGTGTGGCGACAAGCATTTATTGAGCGCCTGTTCTGCACCAGGCTCTGTGCTAGGCCCTTTCCAGGCATCATTCTTTAGACCTCACAGCTCCCCGTGAGGTTGGTCTTATTTCCCTCCTTTTGAAGGTAAGGAAACAGGTCACACGGTGAGTCCCTGGTGGAGCTGAGTGTCAGGCGTGGAGCCTGTGCTCTCCCCACCGCACCCTGCTGCCTCCCACCAGACAGGACGGGCCACCAGTGCTGGGGAGGTCAGGGGAGGTGACGCCCAGGGCCTGCTGAGCCTGGAGGCAGGACACACCAGGCAGACACGCTCGTCGCAGTGGCCAAGTCCACGGCCCGCCAGCAGTGGTGGTCCGTGGGAGCCCCTCAGTAACTCAGTGAGCTGGGCTGGCTAAGAGCTGTGGATACTGAGGAACCAGAGAGTTCCACAGGCTGTCGGTGGCCCCCTAAAGCAGCCAGTGGCAGAGCTGTTCCCTCAGTCCCTAGGGAACTCCTGATCTAAAATGGACTTGGAGTCCCTCTGGAGAAGGGCCAGTGAGCCTGTTGCAGAGGGACAGATGGCCTGCAGACGGGAAACCAGACACTTCCTAACTGCCTCACCAAGGGGCCCTGAGGGCTGGCGGCCTGTGCCCGCGGTGTGTGGTCAATCCCTGAAGCCTCCTGGAGGCGGAAGAGGTGGGGTCCTTGGTGGGGAATAGGGGTCAGAGGTCAGGGAGGGACATCAGGAGAGCTGACATGACCCTGGGGGCTTCGAGTCTCTTTCTCATACTCCTGTCTTCCCCTCCTCAAGGGCTGAGAGCCAGTGTTGTTCTTCGCTTCTTGATGGATTCACTCATGCATTCCATAAATATTTACTGCGCTGCTGTGTGCTGGCCCTGACACAAATTGTAGAGGCACAGAAATGAGTCACAGGTGCTCTCAAGTGGCACTGAGGGAGACGATCCCAGCCTGATGGAGGAGACCCACCTGGACACAATCATTCCCACAATGAGGGACTTCCAAAGAAAGGAGGGGCTGACTCAGCTTTAGAAGGCCTGAGGAAGGCTTCACGGAGGAGGAGGCATTAGACGGGGGTTTTAGAAGTTGCGTAGGAGTTGGGTGTACAGAGAACATCACAGGCAGCAGGAGCAGCAAGGGCGGGGGTTTCTGGGCAGGGTGTAGGGATTCAGACGTGAGTCAAGCTGGGTGCCTAGGGCAGGATGCGGGGCAGGACTTGCCTCATTCTCTTCTCTGTCCCCGTGGCCCAGAGAGGTGCCTGGCACCTAGCAAGTGCAGAGGGGTGTGGTGAGCGTTGGGGCAGAGGTGGCTGTGGGCAGCAGGTGGGGAAGGGTCTCTGAGGGATTCAGTTGTGCCTACGCTTTGCCTTGGAGAGAGAGTGTTGGGCAGGAAGGGGCAGGGCCAGGTTCTGGATGTCAGGAAGCATCCTTGATGCAAAGGGCAGTCAGAGTGGCTGATGTCTTTGAGCCCTGTGCCAAGCCCTGTGTGAAGCTCAATCTTCACAGCAGCCCTGATTTTCAGGTAAAGAAACTCAAGCATAGAAGGGTTAAGTGACACGCCCAAGGTCGCCCAGCTAGCAGGTGGCAGAGCCCACACGCCTGTCCTTTGCACCACATTGCCTTATTTCTGCTGCTTTCCAAGTCCTCATGGCTCTGTTCTGGGCCTGACACTGCTGTCCACACGCTGTGTGACCCGAGCAGGTCTCTTCTGTCTGGCCTCAGTTCCCTCCTTTGAAATGAGGGGGTTAAAATATTCACAGCAGAGTGAAGAGATTGCACTAGATCAGGGTGTTTTAAACTGCACTCTATTGGGCAAACACACCTGATTAGAAGAAGAAGAAGAAAAAATAAAATAGCACTCTGGGAAGTCCTGCACATGGATTTGGGTCCTGGGTTCATGAAAGGATCCAGGCAATCAGCTTGTGAGGAATGTTCTAGAACACAACCTATCAATTTTTTGTTTGTGCTTTCAAGAGATTTTTGTTAAGTGTAGCCTACATACAGAAACTTGCACAAATCGCATTAGTTGTCACTGAATTTTCGAAAACTGAACACAGCTGTGTAACCAGCTCCCCCACCCCAAGCCTCCCTGTGCCCTTTCCAGTCGCTAAGCCACCCAGGGCAACCACCGCCTCACCTTCCGTCACCATAGATTAGCTGTGCCACCTTTGAACATGTATGTAAATGGCATCGTACCGGTAGTATGTTCTCTCCTTGTTTGGCTTCTTCGGTCAACGTTAGGGGATTCATCCATGTTGTCGCAAGTAGTTTCGTCTCATTGTTATGTTCTACGGTATGAATGTACCACAATTTATCCATTAAATCTGGATGAACAGTTATTCCTGTTTTTTGCTATTAGGAATAGTACTACTAGGAACATTCTATTCCGTGTCCTTTGGTGGGCATGTATTGGCATTTCCATTGGGTCTATTCCAGGGAGTGGAACTGCTGGGTGGGGTGGCAGGCCATGTGTCTCAGCCTCAGTAGATGCTGCAAAAGCGTCTTCCACAGTGGCTGCGCCACTGTCATTCCCAGTAGCAGTACGTGAAGGGGAATCCCGTTTGCTCCCCATTTTGCCAGGGGTGAGTGTGTACAGGCACCGGCCACGTGTGGTGGTTTTCGTTTGCGTTTCCCTAATGATCAGGGCAGTCAACCACCCTTCTGTGTTTATCGACTATTTGGAAATCCTCTTTGGGGAAGTTCCTATTTATGTCTTTTCCTATTTTTAAAAAATTGGGATATATGACCTTTTTATTGATTTGTGAGTTACTTACACATTCTAAATTCATGTCCCTTGTCTGATGTATGTCTTGCAAGTGTCTTCTCGCTCTTTGTGGCTTGCCTTTTCATTCTTAGTAGTATCTTTTGGATAAAAGGATTTGATTTTTAGTTTTACTGAAGTTCACTCCATCGGCTTTTTTCCCTTATGTTTAATGCTTTTAGAATTTAAGAATTCTTTGCATACCCCAAGACCGTGAAGATATTCTCCTATTTGTTTTTTAAAAACTGAATAATTTTGCCTTTTACATTTAGGTCTGTAATTCACCTGGGATTGATTTTTATGTGTCGTGTAAGGCAGGGGGGTCTGAATACATTTTTTCCATGCAGATATTTGATTGAATAGCACCATTTATTGAAACGATCATTCCTTCCCCCTTCACCGAAGTCTTGCTTCTGTCATAAATCAATATTCATTTATGTGTGTGGGTTTCCACATGCTCCATTCTGTTGTCCATTTGTCTGTTTTTGCTCCAATACCACATTGTCTTAAATACCATAGCCTTCAATTAAGTGTTAATACTTGATGGGGTAAATCCTCTAGTTTTGATATTCTTTTTTAGGATTGCTCTGGTTTTCTTAACCCTGTGCGTTTCCATACGCATTTAAATATCATACTTCAATTTTTAAAAACATATTACGTTGAGGGGCCAGGCACGGTGGCTCACACCTGTAATCCCAACACTTTGGGAGGCCAAGGAAGGAGGATTGCTTGAGGCCACGAGTTCAAGACCAGCCTCCTGGGCAACATAGTGAGACTCTGTCTCTAAGAAAAATTAGAAAAATTAGCTGGGCACAGTGGCACGTGCCTGTAGTTCCAGGTACTTGGGAGGCTGAGGCAGGAGGATCACTTGAGCCCAGGAGCTTGAGGCTGCAGTGAGCTATGATAAGGCCACTGCACTCCAGCCTGAGTGACAGAGTGAGACCCTGTCTGTAAAAAAATATGTAATAATAAAATTAATAATAATAAAAATACACTGGGGGAAAGACAGAAGTTAATACAAACCTAGGTAACACAGAATTCAGAGTACAAAGGGGTTAAGAAAAATCAGCCTCCTTCCCTCCCTGGTCCCTCATTTTCCTTTATCAGAGGCCACCATCCTTCCAGAAATGTCTATGCATGTACAAGCACGTCCCCACTCTTTCTTTCACGAGCAGTAGCATATTGTACACCTTGTTCTGTAGCTTGTTTTTTTCCTCTTAATATATCTTGTAGACCTTGCTATTTTAGCGGTTGCCTGGGATTCTTTTATGACATCGATAATCTTTTTAACTTGTCCCAAATTAGGTTGTTTCCGTCTTTGTTCCCACTACAAGCAATGCTGCAACGACTTTCTCGGACCTACATTTTTGTGTATAGATGCATAGCCATTTGTAGGATGAATTCTTAGAACTGGGCTTAGCGGTGTCCCGCTGTCTGTCTGCGATGTTGGGCTTCCGAATAAGATTCCCTTTGAAGAAGTCTGAAAAGCCTGGATTAGAGGCTTCTTAAGGATCTTTTGGTGCTGATGGTCTGGGACTTCAAGTTCAGTCCTAGATCATTGTCTGATCTTGAGTTCTGTTCACAGGCTCCAGTCTCTGGCTTTTTCTCTATCGGCTCACACTCTGATTCTGAGATCTCGAACCCAAGTTCTTCGATCTTGAATTTGGAGCTTAGCTTGGCACGGTGGAAGGAACCAGGGCTTCAGCGTGCTCAGTGCTGGGTTGTGGACCCCACTCTGCCTCACCTCTCCATCGCATGGCCCTGTTTCAGCTCTGCAGCCTTGGGCTAGACACCTAACCTCCCAGAGCCTGGTTCTTCCTCTGTGTGTAAGAGGGCTGTATGGGTACTTGTCTCTAGGATTCTTGATTTCTGATTCTCCAGCTTTGATACCCGACCCCTGGGTCCCCTGTCTCTCTCTGGCTTCTCCACGTCTGCTCTCTGATTCTGAGCTCGATTTGAGCTCAGTCCAGCACAGGGCATGAAAGCAGAGCTGTGAAATCAGACCAACTTGTCCTTCTCGGCCACTTACTACTTCACGAACCTCAGTGTCCTCATCTCTAAAACAGAGGTAATAATACCGTCCTCCCACGCTGACAGAAGAGCTGTCACACAGCAAGCCCACAAGAAATGCTGGCTGCTGCCGCTATTATTAGTATTATCTCACATTCTCGTTCTCAGTTCCACAATTTTGGATTTGGAAAGGCAGCTTGGTAGAGAGAGAGAAAGACTGACTTCCCGCTATCCGTCACCCCGTGGCTGTGGGGCTCCGCGCGGTCCTGGAGTCCAGCGCCTGTGACAGGACCTGGCCCCATAGTAGGAGATTCTATCACTGTATCGCAAACCACACCAGGACCCAGAGATTGAGAACAACAACAATTTATTATTTCTCCCGGTTCTATGGGTGGATGGAACAGTTCTTTGGCTGGTCTTGTGCCTGGTGCACTCTGGCCACGTTCAGCTGGTGGCCAGACTGTGCTGGAAGGTCCAGAATGGCCGTTGGTGCTGGCTGTTGGCTGGCACGCCTCAGTCCACTCAGCCTCCAAGCAGGCTGGTCTGGGCTTCCTTCCATGGTGGTCCCCAGAGGCTGCTCTGAAGGCCAAGGCTCTGGAAGACACACAGTATTACTTCTGCCACATCCTGTTGGCCAAACCAGGTTGCAAGGCCAGCTCAGACCTGGGTCTGGACCCAAGGAGTAACGGACTCCACCTGTAGATGGGAGACCAGCGTAATATTGTGGCCACGTCCACCACAGAGCTCAGTAATTGTGTGTTGAATGAATGAGAGGTGACAGGGGTCACTTGACCTCCATGAGCCTCGGTGTCCACATGTGTAAAACGAGTCTAATAATGCTCATTTTAGCATAAGGCCACTGTGAGGAACCGAAGTGATGCAAGCATAGTGCTCGGTCCACAGAAACCATTGTGGGTGTTATTACCCAAGCTCTTCCCCCCGCTGTTCCCTAAGTCCTAAGGCCTTTTGTTCATTGGCCCAAATGGCACCGCACAAGCAGTCATTTAGACAATACCTACATTGGCGTTAAGTTTCCTATTTCTCACCGTTGTCTTCATATGCCTCACCTTACGAGCACTTGGACTATTCTCTCTGCTTTTGATTTCGTTTAGCATAGTAAGAGTCAGTAAAGTTTGCTTGAACCCCTTAGAAAGAAGCATCAGTGTAGCAAACCAACTGTAGGCCAGAGATGGTGTCTTTGTGTGACGTGCAGAGCATTAAAAAAAAAATTGGTATTATAATTTGAATTGGTTGCTAACATTTATAATCAGGAGATTTTACAAAACAATTTAGGTTTCCAAATTCTCTTGAAGTTGCACCATCTGGCATCTCAGGCCTGCTGCCCTCATGGTGGCATTGGGCTAGAGCTAAATCCTTGGGAGGGTGGGTACCCTCTTTGACCCATTGGTGGCTCATGAAGTTGGTTTAGTGACTCATTACTGGCCACATGACAAAAGTATAGCAGAACAGAAAATATCAGTGTGCCGCCCATAGTTACTAGGGGCAAGGACTGTTCTGTGGAGTTAAGTCTAGTTCCATGTGTCTGTGTGTGGGGTTGACTTGGGTTGCAAAGTAAAATGTTTCTCTTACTGTTGTTTGTAATAAAAAATTCCAAAGCCCCTGCTCCAGTTTGGCACAAGCTCCATCCAGTCTGATTCACTCTGAAGTCACCTTCTCCCTCGTAGGCACTTGAGCTCAAGACCAATGAACATCAGGTTGGTTGGTGGAGATTAAACTGGCTCCCTGCAGTCTGGGGGCTGGCAGGTCCATGTGCGTTTGCCCTGGCTTTCAGGTCTGTTCCCCAGTCTGAGCATTTGTAGGCGAGGAAGGTGCGCTGTGAATCCATCGTCCCCATTCTATTCCAGTGGATTCCTGCTCTACCTGCCTGGTCAGGGCCCCGGGCCTCAGCCTGGGCTCCAGGATCCCCAGCCCAGCCCCCAGGTGCCCAGTCTCTGATCCCTGCTCTCTTCTGCCCGCCCAGGAGAACCCGTACGTCATGCGCCGGCCCAACTTCCAGGCCCTGTCGGGGAACGAGCGCTTTGAGGGCTTCTGCGTGGACATGCTGCGGGAGCTGGCCGAGCTGCTGCGCTTCCGCTACCGCCTGCGCTTGGTGGAGGACGGGCTGTACGGGGCACCTGAGCCCAACGGCTCCTGGACGGGCATGGTTGGCGAGCTCATCAACCGGGTACGGCCGGGCTGGGGCTGGGGAGGGGGCCGAGGACTGGGCAAGTGAGGGAAGGCAGGCAGGCGGACAGCCAGTCCAGCCTGAGAACCAGCCTGGCACATAGCACCGACCTCGCTGGCGCTTCGCCGTGCCTGTGCCTGGCGGTGCCACGGGGCGGGACGGGGGAAGAGAGGCGGGCGGTGCGTCACCATCTGTGTCCAGATTTGCCAAATGCCCCCCTCACGCCACCTTGGCTTAGTCGGTGCTCAAAGATTTGTTGAGTGAATCAAAGAGATGTGGAGTGGAAATCAGGCAAAGCCCCGAGGTGGTCAAAGGAGGCTTCCTGCAGGAGGCAGGGCTGATAGCAGGGACTGCTCATTCGTGCGCTGTGCCCAGCACCTACGGGGAGGGCCTGGCGCACTGCAGACGTCGAGGGCTGCCTGCCGAACACACATCCGCTCATTCAGTAGGTGTTTCTTGAGCGCTGCTTTGTGCCTCGTCTCTTGTGGTCGTGGGGTACGGCTGTAAGCACGGTGCGCCTGGACCCTGCCCCCACCCCCAAGAGCTCAGGGCCCCTTTAGGGCACAGAAAAGCAAATGACCACATCACAGGGCCATCCGGGCTGCGATGGAGGAAACTCAGAGGGGGCCCAGGGCAGGCATCTGACCCAGCCAGAGAATCCAGGGAGGGCTTCCCGGAAGAGGTGACGCTCAAACTGATTCTCAAAGGACACGACGGACTCAGCAGGTGAAGGGGGTATGGGAGGAGAAGAGTGTGTTTGGAGCAGAGGAAACAGCATTTACAAGGGGGGGTTGTTGTACAAGAGTGAGGTACACTGGAAGAGCCAGCTGGGCCCAAGTGTGGGCAGGAAGGTGAGGAGGGACGAGAGGCAGTGCTGTGGGAGGTGGCAGGCAAGGGTGCAGTGGAAAGAATATTCTGGAGTCAGACCAACCTGGGTTTGAATCCTTGGGGGAGTCATTCTCTTCTCTGAACCTCAGTTTTCCCCACCCTAGGCTGGGGATAATAATACCTTACAGGTCTGTAGTGAGGTTACAGGAAATGAGACAAGGACCTCACACATCGCTGGGCAGAGTGGGGGACCAATATGTAATTTCTCTTTTTATTTCTGGTGGGAAAAGCCGTCGGCTGTGCCCTGGGAGACAGAGAGGCCCCTGCTGAGGACAGGCCCAGAGCTGGTGCGCAGAGCAGGGACAGTCAGGGCGGCCTTGACATTAGACATGGCTGAGCACGCCAGAGATTCTCACCCTCCTGTCTCTCACATGCCAGAATTTACTGCATCCAGGTCCCTGAATGTCACCCAGGAAGACACGAGAAGGCCACTTTGCTTGACAAGGTCGTCTATCCCTTAGGGCACTGATTTTCAAAAGTTATTTTGACAGCAGAACTTTTTTTTCCAATTGAAAGCTCCTTTAGAACCCTGGACAAAAGCAGAGGTGCTCTGGTGGAGGAGAGGTGGGGGCATCTCCCACCCAGCCCCAGGCAGGCCCTGAGGCACCGTCCCACAGGGCTGCCAGCTGGTTTGAAAGCTGCTGTGTCCAGTGGGTTTTAAGGTCAGGGGAGGTTTTAAGGCCTGAAGCCCAAAGAGGCACCTGGTGAGACTAGAGGTGAGGAGTCCCAGAGCTGTAACCCTACGCCCACCCGCCTGGCAGGCTTCCCCGTGACCTGTGTCCGCAGCCTGGTCCTCAGCCCCATAAGCTCAGAAATGTTCTTTCATCAGGGCCCCCAGAAATAAGCGGGCTCCAGGAGAGCATCCCTACGGCTCAAGTGACTGTGACCTGGAGGCCAGTTTGCTCATCTGCAAAGAAGCGGGATGTCTGGAACAGTCCTTATTTACAGTTGCCCGGCTGTGGGCAAGAGTCTCAAGCTTTGCGCCTCGGGGCCTGCTCAGCAGGGCGGGCTCGAGGATTTGGTGCCTGGGGCGGGCAAAGCGTGGTGGCCGTGAGCTTCTGTGATTGTAGTCCTGAGTCCTGCTTGAATCTGAGGCAGCCGCGTGCGCTAGCTGTGTGAGCTTGGGCAAGTTGGTTACCCTCCCTGTGGACTGCGGTTTCTTCGACCGTAAAATCGGGGAATAGCAGCCGCTTGCACGAGGGTTGCTGTGAGCCTGCAATGAAGAAGTTGGAGCAGGCCCTGGTGTGTGGTGGGTGCTGGGTGCGTGTACGCCATTTTCGTTCCTGTTATTGCTGTCATTCTTACCAGCATGGCCAGTGCATACTTACATTCATGTGGTCATCCATTCTCCATCCAGCCAGTATTTATTGAGTGCCTACTGTGTTCCAGGCCCCCTGCTATACCCTGTGAATTCAGTGGCGAACAAGTCCGACATGCTCTTACTGAGTGGGTTAAAGCGTTTGGGCCTTAGCCAGAGGCCGGTGGGATGCCCTCGAAAGGTCTTGAGCTGGCTCAAGTGAATGGGCCCAGGGTGGGGGTGGGGTGGGGTAGCAGAGGCAGCAGGAGACCAGTGGGGAGAAAATTAAGGAAGTGGGGAGATAGGGGGCTGTAGAGGAGGACTCTGGGAAGGGGCTGGAGAGAGGACCCGAGCATCCCTCCTGTGTCTGGCTTGGGCAGCTGGGCGATGGCGATGACATTTTCAGAGAGAACACTGGAGGAGGAGCCGGCTGGGGCGCAAAGGATGGGCGGGGCTTGGCCTTGCAGAGCCTGAGCCGCCTGCTGAGGGCTGGCCGAGGGAGTGGAGCTGAGGGGGACACACCACCACCCACCGTCACAACAGCAGCAGCTACCGTTCGTTGACTTCACACTGCGTGCCAGGAACCTTTCAAGTGTTCCTTAGTTTTCCTACCAATCCTTCATGGCCTAGAGGACCACTGCCCAGTGCAAGAGCTGGGCCTCAGACTCCAAGGGCCTTGCCCCCTACCCGCCAGGGCTGCAGCCAGGTGTGTCTGCCCCAAGGCCCGTGCCCTTTCCAGACCCCGGCAGGTACTCGGGAGGCCTGGAGTACGCTGATGGCGCACCCACACTGCACCAGGCGCTCGTCCAAGCTTTCTGACTTGTACTCAGCCCTTGACTTCTCATAGCCGCCCAGCGAGAGAGAGACTGGTATTAGCCCGTTTTCTCAAATGCACAGAGTGGGGCACCAAGCCACCACGTCCGGGCCTCATGGCTGGTGACTGGGAGGGGCAAGGTGGGCACCCCACCAGGCTGGCCCCGAACTGGTGAGTGACTTCCAGATGGAAGATAGCACGGGGCACCAGCATCCCCAGTCACCCCCAGCCAGGCACACGGCTCCTCGGCTAGTCTCAAATTATGATCCGTTTATTCCACCCAGCGGCCACTGCTGGCACTGGCCTTCTCCTCCCTGCCTTCGCTGCCAGGCCCCAGCCCTCTTGCCAGCCTCCTCACTGGCCCCCTGGGCTTCGGGTCTCTCCACCCCGCAGTTTGTTCTCCAGTAAGATCTTTCTACAATACAAGTCTGGTCTGTCTCTCGCACGCTGTAGCTGTGGCCCCCAAGGCTCTCAGGATGAAGTCTGTGCCTTCGGGCCTGGCCCTCAAAGGCAGAGCAGATGTCTTCGGTCAGAGTCCCAGGAAGCAGACTCCGAGGTGGCGATTTGCAGGCAGGAGGTGTGCTGGGGCGCCCTGGGGAACCCGCCATGCGAAGGAGCGAAGGAGCGAAGGAAGCAGGCTGGGGAGGAGTTGAGCTTCAGTGCAGTCATGACTGGGCCTCAGCTGTCCCAGGCAGCTCTGGAGCTGGGGTGGCCTTCAAAGGCATCTTCCCTGAGGCCAGGGGGCCAGGACTTTATACTCCCCCTCCCCAACATGTCACTGGACGTGGGATGCCCTCTGGGAGAGTCAGGGCCTTGGGCGAGGGGGCTCTTCCACCAATGGAGCTGAGAGCTGTCAGCCACCAGTGCCCTGGGCAGCTGAGGCAACAAGTGCCCCAGCCCTGAAGGAGGGTCCGGGTGGCCCCCACAGTGTCTGCTACA